TTTAGATTTTGACGATAATTTATCTCTAAATTGCTTGGGAACATGCATGTAAGCCGTACTGCCGAACACTCTTAGATGTGACAAGATAGGTTTGTTTCCTGTCCACAGTTCATATGGGGTTGAACCTGGTGCTTGCGTGGTCGATGTCCTGTTTAAGATATAAACAGCCGTGTTTACGGCTTCGGCCCAAAGATACTTAGGTAAATCTTTGGCTATCAGCATCGAACGAGCGCTTTCTATGATGGTTCTCATGTCCCTCTCTGCTCGACCATTCTGCTCCGGAGTGTAAGGGGCTGTCACTTCGTGATTAATTCCTTTTTTCTTCATAAATTCTTTCATTTCTTCATTGCAATATTCTGTGCCGTTATCGGTGTGTAGAGTCTTCACTGGTCGTTGAAATCGATTTTCCGTATCGGCCACAAAATCCCTGAACTTCTCGAATGTATCCGACTTGTGTCTTATGAAGTACACACTCCTATAACCACTGCAGGCATCCTTAAATACAACCAAAAATTTCGAACCTCCTATTGAATGTGTTGACATGGGACCACATAAATCGCTGTAAATTTTCTCACCGGGCTTTGGCTTACAATTAGTTTTATCGTTGGAGCGTGAAAAAGGTAATCTGTGTTGCTTACCTTGCACACATGATTCGCAAAAGAAGTCGGAGCTTGCATCCGAAAGCTTTATACCTTTTACTAAATTCTTGCTTATCATATCACGTAATGCCCGTTTATTTATGTGACCCAATCTCTCGTGCCACACCTGCAATGTCTCGTTTGTGGTTACGTTTAATTCACTCGATGGAATTGTCCGGAACAGCATTCGGTAGAGATTGTTCGGAGTTCTGATTGCTATGGCTGCTAGTTTCTTCCTGTCGTAGATTTCGGCTCTGTTATCTTCTTTGATGATCTTCATTCCTTTCTTTGTAATAACTCCTTCCGAGAATAAATTTTTCTTTAAATCCGGTATATATAGTACATCATTTATTGTTGATTCGTACCACTTACCGTTGATCAATTTCTGTATCTTTATCATACCTAAGCCTTTGACGGGTATTGTTCGGTTATTTCCAAGAGTAACTTCGCGATTCCTTATTTCTTGAAACGTAGAGAAAAAGTCACGACGATGACACATATGTGCTGAAGCTCCGCTGTCCATAATCCATGATTCCTCCAGAGATGTCGCATCTGAGAGTTCGCCGCTGCATTCTGCATTGAACGCCGAATCATTTCCGGATAGGTTATTCTTTGATTTACTATCACTGTTCTCCCGATTCTCACGGTATCCACTTTTTCTTTCAATGTTGTCCCGATTATTTTCGCGGTAGCTTGTGTTCTTCTTTGGCGGACAACGACAGTCTTTCGCGAAATGTCTCCTTTTTCCACAGTTGTAGCACGTTACTTTAGGCTTTGATGGAAACTTCCTGAAGGTTTTCTTCTTGTCTGCACTTGCGCTGACTGTACTGAGTGCAGTTTCACTAGAGTCGGTGGTATCTAGACGTGCCTCTTCGTCGAGCAGTCGCGCGGTCAGATTGGCTATCGTTTGCTTGCCTTCGTCCAATGAGAGCCATGCTTGTCGAACACCGTTGTATTTGATCGGAAGACTCCCTAGTATCTTCGTCATTACGGCGCTGTCGCTCATTGGTTCCCCTTTGTCTCGTATTTCACGGGCAAGATTTTCGACTTTCGCTATGTGTTGCGAAATCGAATCGCTACTCTCCATCTTGTATTGATAGAACTTTTCGTGCACTAACATTTTATTTAATTCCGTCTTCTGTTCATATATCGAGTCCAATTTATTCAGGATCTCTTTCGAGCTTGTACAGTTCTGTATCAACGTTACTTGCGAAAACTCCATGGCGGACGTGATGATATACATGGCGGCTGCATCCTTCTTCATCCAGCTCTTTAGCTCGTTGGCTTCCGCGGCCTCTGGTTTCGGCACGACTCCTTGCACTATGTCAGCTACTTCCTTAGCACGTAGAGCACACATTAACTGGAACTTCCACTGTTGATAGTTCCTTCCATCAAATTTCGTCATGTGCAGTACTTCTAATTTTTCCGTCATCTTGGCTGCCTTTCCTTTGTACGTCGACACACACACGAGATATTCCGTTTCTCTCACGATTTTTCAGTATTTGTACTCAGCGATACTGTCGCCCTTCTTCGCTCTCTCTGTTCCCTTCTGTGAAACTAATTTCTCTTTCTCTCTTGCACGATGCCTGGGCCCATAACCTGTTTGATTTTTATCCGGGCAGAGAGAAGGGATAACAGAGGAGAAGACACTTTTCAGCAATGCTCGATTACTCGTGAGAATTACTTATTACAAGAACGAAATATTTATTGTACGAAAGACAATATACATAAAGAAAAGAAACTTGAATTGTAAAAAGGACTTGTGCGTGCGTGCACTGAGACGGTTACTACCGAAACTTGACTAACATAGAATAGAAAAATATATAAGAACGGAATACATAAGAAAGCAGCGCTCCCGCGACAAAGACATTGGCTCTCCTGCATCTCAGGCGGCGCTGTTCGGAAACCATAGTATGAACGTGAAACCAAAGCAATGATCGTTTCCTAATCTTAACACTCCCATCAAATGATCACTTGCTTGATAAAAGAAACCGCTACTAGATTCTTAAGATTGACAATCCTTTTTGAACACATGGACGCTTTCCATGCCTATCGCATTTCTTAATTTTTGAAATCGATCACGTGGTAGAGCCTTTGTAAAAATGTCTGCAAGTTTGCGTTTTGAATCTACATATTCTACCGCTATAGCATTATCTTCAAACTTCTCGCGAATGAAGTGATGACGAATATCAACGTGCTTCGTCCGTTTATGAAAGT